GTGTGTGTGTGTGTGTGTGTGTGTGTGTGTGTGTGGCGGGGTGAAGTGTGTACCTGTCAGGGACAGAGCTATTTGTTAAATACCGCATCACCATACCTGGGCAGTAGGCAGTCACTAAAGCATACCGGGCAGGGGACTAAGAAGCAGAGTCTCCCGGGCGCGTCTCCCTTAGTCGAAGTGGAGAAGGTCAATGGCCCTGTCTCCTGCCCCAGCCCCCTCGCAGTTCCCCGCCCGCGGACTGCGGTCTTCCCGCGCGCTCCTCCCCTGCCATGCCCTCACACTCACTAGCGCAGCGCAGCGCCTGCCGCAGCACCTCTCGTCCGCACAGGTCACACCAGCCCCGGCCGCTCCGCAGCGCCAGTTCGGCGAAGCGGTGCCCCTCGCCTCGCTCCACCGGGACGCGAGGATCCTGCGGCTGCTCGAAGATGCTCCGTACGTCGCGGGGCCGGGGCGCCCCAGGCCGCCGCCGCAGCCTCTGCTGCAGACCAGGCCGGAGAGGGCGAGCGGGTCGGGAGGCCCGAGGTTGGGGCTCCGGGTCCCCCCGGGCAGCCCTCCGGGCGCCGCGCCCCTCGTGCGCCCCGCGCGCAGTGGAGAGGGGAGCGGGGGCGCAGCGGCGAGAGGAGCGGCCGGGGGGCGGCGGCTGCGGCGGCTCGTGGCCGCTCAGACTCTGCAGGTAGCGCGGCGGTTCTGGGTCCAAGAGCAGCGGGTAGGGACGCTGCCCGATGGCCGGGGACGCCATGGCCATGCCGGGCCAACGGCGGCGGTTCGCGGCGGTGGCGCTGCTCCCGAGTCAGCCTCGAGAGAAGGGCGGCCCCACACGAGCTCGCCTTTAAAGGGACCGCAGCCTGCAGGGCGGGGCGGAGGCGGGGAGACTCGCGCGAGGCAGGAAGGACGCCCCAGGGATCCGCCGACCCGCCGAGCGGCTGGGGGCGCGGGAGCGAGCGCGGATTTAGGCGCGTCTTCGGGAAGCGGCCGGGACCGCTGGGGCAGTTGAGAGGCGTTGCTGGGCGGGCCGTCTGCCCTCAGCCCTGC